TAATAGATAGATGGATGGATGGATAGATGGATAATAGATAGATGGATGGATGCATGATGGATGGATGGATGGATGAATGATGGATGGTGATGGATGGATGGATGGATGGATTGATGGATGGATGGATGGATTGATGGACTGATGGATAATGGATGGATGGATGGATGGACGGATGGATGGATGGATTGATGGATGGATTGATGGACTGATGGACTGATGGATAATGGATGGATGGATGGATGGATGGATGGATGGATGGATTGATGGACTGATGGACTGATGGATAATGGATGGATGGATGGATGGACTGATGGACTGATGGATAATGGATGGATGGATGATGGATGGTGATGGATGGATGGATGGATGGATTGATGGATGGATGGATTGATGGATGGATGGATGGATGGATGGATGGATGGATGGATGGATGGATGGATGGATTGATGGACTGATGGACTGATGGATAATGGATGGATGGATGGATGGACTGATGGACTGATGGATAATGGATGGATTGATGGATGGATTGATGGACTGATGGACTGATGGATGATGGATGGATGGATGGATGGATGGATGGATGGATGGATGGATGGATGGATGGATGGATGGATGGATTGATGGACTGATGGACTGATGGATAATGGATGGATGGATGGATGGACTGATGGACTGATGGATAATGGATGGATTGATGGATGGATTGATGGACTGATGGACTGATGGATAATGGATGGATGGATGGATGGATGGACTGATGGATAATGGATGGATGGATGGATGGACTGATGGACTGATGGATAATGGATGGATTGATGGATGGATGGACTGATGGATAATGGATGGATTGATGGATGGATTGATGGACTGATGGACTGATGGATAATGGATGGATGGATGATGGTTTTACATTGTTGTAATGTGATTTCAGTTATGGATATTTATTTCTATTGATTGATTGATTAATGACAACATTAACCATTCAAGGGGCTGAATCCTTTCGACAGACAGTCTTATATCTGGTTTTTAAATCAGAGGGAGACAGGTGCAGGAAATCACCTGATTTCTGAAGCCATCCTGATCTTCTAAAAAACAGACTATATCTATGTGCCACTTAAACTTAATGACAAAGGAGATCATGATGTGTCAGTTTGCTTTGAACATGTGTTTGTTAGCAAAATATGTCTTGAACCACTGGATGTATTTTGTAAAGTTTTAAACAACATTTCATGTACCTGTACAACAGATATCTTTTAAAAAGCTAATCCAGTGTAAGGTAAAATACATGACCATCTGACTTTAGAAAACACAAACAGGCCATTTTTCAGTCAGTGTAACAATATTATACTACTCAGTGTACCTGAACAATATTACACCATTCATTTCAGCTTGACCAAAATAACCACAACTCTATCATGATGTTTGTTCAAAACTCTGAGCTAAACGGTGAAACACATTGCTTAGAGAAATTCTAATCCTTCAGCTGTGTCAAATCACATTGAATTTGCTTCCTGTTTGAGGGATTTGCATGTTTTATTCGCTTCAACTTTGGCAACATTGTGAAAACAATTAAACAAGCGTGCAACATGTTTCTACAAAGCATCATCAAAATGACATTTTTTCACAATTTCCTCTTGTTTTGTTTGAATGCAGGAGCACAGTGAAAGACTTCACGCTTGACTTTTTTTTCCTCGGCTCCTCCAGGGTCTCTCTGGCCTCCGTGTCGACACTTTTAATTTAATTTCATTTCTCATTTAAATTCTGTCCTTTGAAAAGACTTGTTTTATTCTCTCTTGTACTCGGGTG